ACTCTGATTGTAGCCTGCTCCACATGGAGTCTAAACCCTGAGGTCATTATCAGCTACGGCGTCATCAGGGGGTACAGACACTGGGTCTTTTGGCAATCAATCAAAGTAGGCCATCCAAATCATTCGTTGCTTTGTCTGGGTGCAGACACAGAGTGGCCCCTTCGAAAGCATTCAGCATCTGTTTCCTTCATTACATGAGTGTCCAAATAGACAGGGTCCACCCAAGCACACAGTTTGGTTTCTAAGTAGCAGTTTATTCAAGATGGATTATGCTTACTGGTGTAAACCTCAAAAAATTGATGAAAGTAACACTAACAATCTAAGAGCTATTATATCAGGTTGGTGGGATATGGGTAGTGTTGTTCTTTTAATCATTTCCTAGAGTCTATTTTTCACTGTGATGTAGACACAACATTTTTAAAGACGATATTTTAAAAGATTTAAAAAAACAACCCACAACTTTCAAAAGATTTAAAGAGTATTACTGTACCTTAAACATGTCTTGGATTCCTTAATAACTGCTTACAGAGCCTCAATGCATATGAATCATATCAATAAAGAGTTTTAATTTTCAAAACCTCCCCCTGGGTGACAGCCCCTTTGTCATTTGGATGGCCATCCCCTGGACTTTTTAAAGCTCCATTAATCTTTCTCCAGGTACAACAGCCAGAGCCCTCCATTTGGAGGCCACATCCTCAAGTCAGAAATGGCACTTTTACAAGCGAAAATGACATTTCATTGTCAGTCATACCATATCTTCAGGAAATGTCTGTAATGATCCTCGGACAGATAAGATCCTTTTCCTGCATCATATTTTTTGACTCGGCAATAGGCACAAAATTCCCTTTCTCCCCAAATGGCTTACATACTCCACTAAAGTTTGTCACTTTAATATACATGGACACTAAATCTCTCAGAAAATAAAATCTCCCTTGCCCACTGATGTATCCCCTGCACAGTGCCTGGCACATGGAAAGTGCTCAATAAATTGTGTTAGATGAGCAAATGAATAAACTTGTTTTTTTCATTTCTTTTGGCTCAACAGACAAAAGAACAATTAAATGTGTTTCTTGAAGGATATCATAGGGGAATCTCCACCACTGGAAAAGTTTAAACATCTATCTTCTGTTAGGGATAAAGTAGGAAACATTGGGGGAGGAGGCTGAACCAAATAACGTCAAAAGTTCCTTTTAAGTCCTAAATTCTATACCTGGATGAACGCCACCCCTTAAGAGAGAAGGATCAACTAGATAAAGCCCGATTCCCAGGTAGGGTAAATTACCATGCTATGTTTAAAATAAAGATAATACCTGGCCTGAGACTCTGATGCAAAAATACTAACTCATCCAGAATGTGGACACATCCCTAGGGGAGAAATGTTCTTGGTAATCATCAGATACACTCTGGAAAACGCAGATGTGCTTCAGGTCTACTCTGAGCCAAAAGCCCTAAAACCATCAGTGGGAAAACGGGAAGCTAGGAGTCGAGATTAAAACAGAAGTAAACAATATCACACTAAATTGAAACTTTTGTTTTTCAGCCAACAACCAATCCACTTAAGAAATATCTGAATTAGCTTTGAGGTTTAAATGATTATAACCGAATACACAATACTGCCCCCTTATCTAAGCAAGAGGTTATGCTGCAAGATCTCCAGGGGCTGGCTGAAACTGTGGTAGGTACATACATACCTACGATAAAGTTTAATTTATAATTTATTGAGATTAAGAACAATAATAATAAAAAAGGACAATTATAAAATATACTGTAATAAAAGTTATTATAAATGTGATCTCTCATCAAACTAGCATGAATTTCATTTTCCTTCTTTACAATTTCGTGGATAGAAAATTAATTCTTACCAAAGATCTTAGCAACCCCTGCATAAGATTTTTTTTCTTTTCCTTATTCATTTGAGAACTTTCACCTTTTCACTTAAGGGAAGCACTTTATGAATTCTCTTTGGCATACTCAATTGTTAGCATCACTGCTCCTGCACTATGGGGGCATTATTAAGTAAAATAAGGGTTACTTGAACACAAGCACTGTGATACCCAACATCGATCTGATAACCCAGATGGCTACTAAGTAACTAATGGGCAGGAGTGTATACCGCCTGTCGCTAAACAAAGGGGGACAAAGGGATGATTCACATCCCCGGGCGAGACTGAGCAAATGGATTATTATCATGCTACTCAGAACAGCGCGCATTTAAAAACTTATGAATTGTTTATTTCTGAAATTTTCTATGTAATATTTTCAGACCAAGGCTGACCACGGGTAACTGAAACCTCAGAAAGTGAAACCATGGATAAGGGGGTACTATTGTAAGCACTTCATAAAACAGAAACTATTGCATTTGACATATAGGAAATTTTGCCCAGTAAAATATATTTACCTGGGATATCACATTAAAATACTCAAATTCAAGAATGTCTAAAATTGAGGGCAAATTATTCTGATTGAACTTTCCTTCAATTTGGATGAGTCAGTTTCTAGGAAAAGGAGATAATGTCCATGTTTTCCTAAATAATCTTTTTTTTAAAAAAAATCTAATTTTAAAGGAGTAACTAGGGAAATTTTATTCACAGGTAAAATCAACTTCAGAGTGATTCTCTTCCCTCCACATCCTTTCTTTCTTTTGTTCTAATCAGAATAGATAAAGAAACAGGAGGACCAGAGAATTCTGTGAAGGATGCAGTGTAGGTCCCTCGGAGCTGTGTTTGAAGAATGTTCTCCATTTACTGGGGTTGTTTTGAAGACAAATTGTAGACACCACACTTAAGACAGTAACCAAGTGAACAAAGTGAAACAGTTCAACAACTCCTTGGAAATGTATGAAAAACCTTTTCAACTTTGTAGTCAATTCCTGATCACCCACACCCCAACTCAGTCAAAGAAAAACAAGTCTTCTGTTTTCAAACTAAGTAATTTAATTTTAATTCCAGTAATGACAAGGAATGTGCAGAGAAAGCAATTACCTCCTCTGTACACTTTTAAAAATCTTTATTATTTGAATGAGAGGTCTTAACAAGAATTCTGTGGGATTAAGCTCACATTTGGTTGACAGACCTAGTGTTGGATACGATTATGGCTACACAACTGAATCTTAAATCCACATATTGTTCCTATTTAACTGATATATATGAACTAATGAATTTATAGAAAATGTGCAGCCAATTATTTCTTCCACCTCCCCCATGCCTCAAGAATGCACCATCAATATGTATTACTGAAAAAGACACACACACACCCACACACAGAATATTTGCATTCCCAAATGCTCTCCAATCACCTAAAGTAGATATTGTTATTTTAGTTACCAGAATCTCTACCCTGGAAATAGGTATA